CGCACAGTACAGGCATCGTCTCCTTTAGGGAAGCCATCTTCATTTGGGAGGTCTGCGAGCCGCGAGTTCAAGTCGCCAAAGACGACTGTCAAATCGTGCTCGGCAGCTGTGTACACAGAAGCTCGATGAAAACCATTCTTGGAGGGTCGCGTAGAGCCGTTTCGAGAAGTCCCTTGAAATGCGTAGGACAACACCTGCACAGGGAAGGCAAGGAATGCAGCCGTTTGCAAGCAACACCGTGCAACACCGTGCAACACCGTGCAACACCGTGCAAGTCCATGCATCGAATCTATGTCCGCAAATCCGTGCCTCGTTGAGGTGTTCATTCCGCTCGTCAGCTTTGCCCGTACCAGATGGCAGGTGGACATTTGCAAAACACAAAGACATGGGCCCAAGCAGGAACCGGACGCACAAGCCACCCTTATTCCCACTCAGACCCTCAATTCCCGTCTTCACCCGATCGCAGTCGATTTCACCCACGCGCTCTTGGAGACTCTCGGAAGCGTAGGCCAGGAGCGACAGGCCCACCATGCCAAAGCCTCGACACGACCAGTCTCAATTTAGAGAAGAAGCGAGAGAGAGAGATGGAGAGAGAGAGAGCGAGAGAGAGCGAGAGAGAGGAGCTCTCTCAAGTTTTCTTCCCCATGACTCCCCGATTCAAAGGAAGCGCTCTAATATCCCAGGAGCTGCATATCTTCAAATAGCGAAGTCCAGTCGCAGCGAGAGCCGCCTGAAACGCCCAAGCAGCAAAAACAAAGCTCCGGCCACCAGGACGTGTTTTCCACAACCTGCCTCAATTTTAAGCTCCAACTCAGACTGTCTCTCTTCATGGCCATCCGTATTCAGGAACACAGACATTGGTCCAAGTTCCACGAGCTCCTGTTAACATCAAAGCCGGAAGCGGACGTGCTTTGGTGAAGTCAGGACGACAGTCCTGAATACCCACGATGTAGATGTCAGCTTGGCCAGCCGAGAACAGCCATGGTCGAATGTCGTCTTCCGGGTCAATGGCACAGCCATGAAGGTTCCAAGAGCAAACCCGGATGCTAAAGCCTGAAGGGCAAACTGTGCCGGGGGATGACTCGTCTGAGAGACATTCATATGTCGGTTATGTCGAGTTTCGGGTGAGGGGGGAGCTTGGAGCTTAGTTGTTCAATGCACTCTGAATTCAAATGCCAAGCTTCTGCTCGGCAAGTCATGTCTCGAAGGTTGCTTGCCAAATCGCCCGGGTGCCGGCTGAGACGAGCTTGCTGCACTTGACATTTGCCGGTCCACCGCCGCACGGACCTGAGAAACTCCTGCACTCAAGAAGTAGAATGTCTGGCAACTTTGCCGAAGAGCGCTGGAAGGGAAAGAGAGGAAGAGATAGGAGTGAAAAAGAAGCGACAGAAAGAGAAAGACAGGAGAAGGAGAGAGGGAAAGGCATGGTCAAAATGGAGCAATGGAGCAAACGAGAGTTTCCACCCGAGTCCTTGGAAAAATCCTCTTTCGGCATGCGACTTCGCCGTATCCACTGCCTGCCAAGACTGGACTCGCCAGCTGGTCGACTTGCAGATGGGATCATGCCATGTCTAGCGAGTCTAGCGTCTGCTGGAGTCTGGGGTTTGGGGGAGTCTGGGCAAGACAAGCAGCTAAAGAATCGCCTTGAGGAATTTGCTGCCAGCACGCTGGAATGTCTCAGTCTGCCCCTCCGAAAGGCCCAGTGCTTCTGTCCAGTTGGGCCACGCGCTGTAGCCTGTCAGCAGGTCAACCTCTCACCGAATCTTCCTAAATCAAACTTTCAAACAAGCTGCCTCTGGAACCTGCATCTGAGCCAGCCATGAAACGGACGCGCACGTGGACTTACAACACGAACCCCTGTCCAGATTCTTTGGGCTGTGGAAACTTGTCACTTGGGCCAAAATATCGTCTTCAAGTTGGGCCCGAAGCTATGTCAATGTAAGTCTCTCTGATTCCGCTGCATGTGGCAACATGCTCATCTCTGATTGAGCACTTTAAGCTGACAGCAGGTGAACGTTCACGATCAGCAAACATCAGCAAACTGACTCAAAGCTCCAGGGCAGACCCGACCGAATGCCTTGTCCTCCTCGTGCATTTTCTGAAATCACCTGTCAGTGCATGAGCGATGTGAAACAGCTGTCTGCATGGAGCCTTGCGCGCAAAATAATCAATAGAACCATCCAAACCTGCCAGGCGCACTGTGCCTGTTGAGTCGAGTACCACTAATCGTGGAGCCTGCACCAAGCCGACAGACATACAAGAGAAGGTTTCGAAGGCGCATGTGCTGACATGCTGCCTCAGTCACACAGAATGTGGTGAACAGCTTGACAATGGCTTCCCTGTTCTTCAGCCTGATTTGCTGAGGAAAGTGCGGATGTACAGCGGCATGGCATGCACATGATTCCCACCCGGTGCAAGGGCACGTGCACGAATCGACAAAGAATGCACGTAGCGGCACCACGGAATATGTCACAAACTGCTTTTGCCACACAACTCTTATGGAAGGAAGCGATCCCTAGCGATCCCTCTCCAGTCTGTCGAACTTGTCTAGGAGAGGATCTTTGACCGTCATGGCCGAGGCTTCGTCGGCCAAGGCAGCGCGCTCTGAGCCAGTAGCTGCTTGCGCTCGCTCTAGCAATGATGCCACCTTGAGAGCTTCACCTTCAAGTCTTTGGACAGCTGCAGAGACCACCGAGACCCGCTCTAAGGCCTTTTTGAGCTCGTCCTTTGACGTTGTCAACCGCTGTTGAAGTGGCACCTTCTTTTCTAAGATTGAACGAGCTCCATCTTCATCCCCAGCTTGCAATGCTGCCATGGCTTCGTCCGAAAGCTTCTCCACATCACCCTCCAGTTTCACAATTCTAATGGCCAAGTCATCCTTCACGGATATAACACGTTTCTTGTCTTCAACGGCATCTGCAAGACTTTTTGCCACGGTCCTTGCCAGATTGACCATATCTGCATCTAAGCCGAGCGCTTCCACCGAAGCCTGATCTCTGTTCAGGCGGCCCAAGTCAGAACCTAGACTTGCACCGAACACTGCTCCAAAAGGGCCCAACAAGAGTCCACCAAGCACAGATCCACCCACGGCACCCATCAACGAGCCTTCTTGCGGTTCTTGACTAGGTGGCTTGGAAGGTACACGGCTCACACGGCTTAGGCGCTCGAGCGTGTCGTCTTCGGCACGAAGGCACACACGCATTCGGGTCGGTTGCGGAGTGCTTCCCAACCAGCCCATGCAATTAGCAGCAAAGCAAAGCAAAACCAAAGCACCACCGCGCTTTCTGGTGGACCTGTCCAACCATGGCATTGACATTGGCGCCTAACCTCTCCCGCAACCACTTCTGACTACAGCATGCCTTGTGAGCTCCAGCATGCACCACATGTTTCCCCAATTACGCATTTGTGTACATGCATGCGCTTGCTGCGACTGACTGACTGTATCAAAGTTGAAAGCTGCTCAAAAACATGCACGATGGAAAATATAGCCCACCCCTTGCCAAAACAAATCAGATCATCTGCAACATTGACCACACTCTAAGGCCACTGACCTGGAAGACAGCTAAACCATGAGTTCCGAGCAGCAGGCGGAAGTGACATCCATGGCATTTTTGCCATGTGGAGCTGCCACATGTTCTGCACCAGCTGGTCATCATCATGCATAGTCATGCATCATACAGCACCAAAGGAAAAATCAGCTAGGTGCAGCCTCGTCGGTATCCAATGGAATGAGCACGATTTCAAAAGAGTTTGCACCTCGGTATCACACCGTATCCTTCCGTAGAGCAGTTGGCTCGCGTAGCTTCTGAGATGAGCACCGTGGGCATCTCGAATCTGCTTGTAAGCTTGTGCCAGTATCGGCGCGAAATAATGGCATGGCGGACACCTGAAAAACGAGAAGCACGCTCCATTGTCACATGAAAGAACTGACGTGACTCACATGCTCACGTAGGCACCAGGATGCAGAGAAATAGAGGCCGATCAATGAGGAGGCTAAGGCTTGTGGACCCGCCTCATTCCAACAGTCGCCTTTTCAAAAAGTCTCTCTCGACTTACTGAAGCATACAGCAACCCCGAGGAATCTACAGGCTCGCCAGTGTCGCACCGAATCAAATTCCGAAGCCTGGGACACCATGCCAGGTGGTGTCACTCGCACATGGCAGCTGAACCTTTCTTGGAATCTTAGGCGTGTTCCATGAAAGATTGGGAGATGAAGAAATTCTCCGCTGCACTTTCACAGCTGCAGCTTGGTCGGCGGTGGCTTGGCCTGAGAAGCGTCGCCAAGAACTGTGGTACACACTTAGTACACACCACGCTCATTCACACAGTGACTTGCCACTCAACAAACATGTCAACCATCCAAGACCAAACGCTTGCTATGTAAGATTGGAGCTCATCCCACCATGCGCAACATCGCCCCCGAATGCGGTGCAGTGATTGTGCCCAGCTCTTGTTCGGGCTGTCATATTATTGAACGATGCTCGGCTTGCCACTTTATGACAAGGTTGATCCCTTACATACGATTTGTTCTAATCGAGCGCACATTGCAGTTTCCTCCCACACAGGAGACGTGAGGTGAAACCTAAAACGGCTGGATACGCTGGTTGACAGTGACGGACAATGCTGCGGAGGAACCAGGAGTCCTAGAGCACCCTGGTGAGCAGCCGCTGTTCTCCTTGGTTCTGCAGTTGATATTTAAACCTCACCGCCGCCTGATTGTCACAGAAAATGTCAGAGCTTCCTTCGTACGCCAACGCCACGTTTACTGCCAACAACTCGGCTCCGAAGACTGTGTGGGAAACCCGTGGCAGTATTCCTGAAGAGACCACATAATTGGTAGCCTCTTGGGGGCTTGCCTCAATCACAGCCAACCTGCTACCCTTGCCACAGAGAAGCCTTCATCATTTCATTTGGTTGTTTTATGCTAACAATATCTCGTGAATAGAATCAGTCCACTGAATATTGTTTTTTCCCCTTCTTCTCGTCAGCCTCAACTCTTTTGTATAACATCTCTTTCAAAATTCGGATCGCCCTCTCACTGACATTCGCGTGTGCTCTTGTTCTGTGGTGCTCTATTTTCTGTTCCTTTAAGTATATTTGAATAGCTGCTTTAGATAGAGCACCTTCATCATCAGTATAAATCATCTTAGGCTTTTCCCCATCTTATGCAAACACTCTACCATTCCTGAAGCCAGATCTTCCTCCTTCTTGCCTTTTATTGCTACCGCATGCATAAACTTATCAAAGACATCTTTCATGATCATACCGACCTGAAATTTTTTATCTTCCAAATCATCAATGAAAAACAAGTTCATTTGACACTCGTATGCCGAATGTGGTGCTACACAAAACCGTTCTGTCCCCCAGGTTTTCTTTTTGCCTCCACGTTCTTCTTGAAAAACTCATTAGCATCGTCAATAGTTCTACTTCTATGTTTTTCCCGCACTTCCTTTAAGGTCCTCTGCCTGCTCCCAAATCCTCCACGATCGTAATACACATTAATAATTATTTCTTGTTTACTCATTTCTCTACAATACAAAAATATTGATTTAATCTTATTTCGAAAATTACATCAGCATTCTTTTGCTTTCATGGGCATCACAACTTTAACATCATTCATGTCATACTTAGGTCCTTTTTTATTCTGACTGCTGTTGAATTCTGCCAGTTGCTCTTCGGTTGAATCCTCGATTGTGCTATTGATATTGTTGTCTTTTGATTTTATATATTGATTCAACTTCTTCTTTTGAATGCACTTCAAAGCACAATCGCTTTTTTGCTGCATAAACCCTTCCTCTTGTCTTCGCTTGTAGTAATACAACCGGTTGTAAATTGCCAACTGTTCTCTTATCTCTTCCATGGTCATATCCTCTTGGGTTTTCATAGACATATCTTCTGAACAAAATTTGACAAAAAATGGTTTAGTTTCAAAACTTATCTTCAGAAAACAATTAAACAAACATTCACTTTGTACCTTAATTACACTGACATGAGTAAGACATCCAACGTGGTGTAAAAGCATTGGAAACAGTGTATGATGGTTGAAAAAGGCAGAATGAACAGAGCAACCAACCCTAAATCAGAAATATCATCGGATTATATGATGACAAGAAAATAGCACAGTCCACAACAGCGAACAAACTGACAAGGCACTTCATCAATGCTAAGACAGACCAGCAAAAGAGCCAAGTGAGATTTCACGAGGCAATGCATTGCCCACGGGAAGGCGCTCATTGGGAGCACGCGGCGTGCGACAAACAGCTTTTGGATTTTGATCCGGCCACGCCAATTAGTATACTGCCCAGGTGTGGTCCACACGGTTGCAGGCAATCTCATGCGCAAGAAAGCAACGCAAGGCGTCCAGATGGTGGGAAGGGCATTTCGGGTCGAAGCGTTGCGACTGCCGGTGTCTCAAGACATACCAGGTTTCCATTTCTATGTGCGCATAGGACCTAAACCCTATGGATTGTCTAGCACTTTCCACAGTGCCCGGTGCTTCGCCCAAGCCCAGCTTTGCTTTCAAGGAGTTCAGGGTCAGACAGTCCGCTGATGTCAAACTCTTCCGAATTTTTCTTATGGGCGTAATAAATGCACGGACACAGAGGAGCCTGCGGCGTCATCCCTGCAAGCAAGGCAATGGCTGCAGCAGGCGGGATGTTGAATTGCAAGTCAGTGAATTCCCCTTTCTTGGCCCCACGTTGTCTTCTTCGCACTTGTTCCCTTGCTGGAGAGATCAATACTACCGGCATGGAGGCGGCACGGTTCTGCTCACAAGTGTTGTGGGCCTCAAAGGCTTGTAGCAAGCCCGCCAGCCAATAGTCAGGATCCGCATAGCTTAGCATTAAGGGAAACTTAGCACTTTGAACAAAAGGAACAAGGTGAACTGCGTGAAAGAAACCAGCAATCTGTTCCGCAGCCGAAAGAAAGCCAAATCCCATAATTGCCTCTTGCATCTCAGCGCGACAGAGGCAGCTTGGCCTGTGGATAGTTGGGAAGGTAGCTCACCGCTTTGGACAACCGAAAGGGAAAATTGTGGAAGATAAAACATGGAGCTTGGCAAGACTAAGCACAAGTTGTTGCAGGGTGTTCAAACCCTGGGTTCAAACTTTTGACGGGTAAGGGTTGGAAGGTGGAACCCTAGGTTCAACCCAGGTTCGAACATTGGAACCCTAGGTTCAACCCAGGTTCGAACATTGAACCTCTAAGACTCTAAGAGCCCAGGGTTCGAACATTGGAACCCTGGCTTTACCCAGGGTTCAAACACCTCCCAAATGCTTTTTTACAAAGCCGGGCCTTTCCCGAATACTAAATCACAAAGCCGGACCTCTCCGAATACTTATTACAAAGCCGGACCTTTTCCGAATACAACAAACCCAGTTCAAATTCTATGGAACCCCAATTTTTACCAGGATTCGAACATTGAAACCCCAGAGTTCGAACATAGAGTTCCGAACCAGGGTTCATTTGAACTCTAGGTTCACCTAGGGTTCCAACACCTTCCCAAGCACAAAAATCACAAAGTCGGGCCTCCACTCAAATGCTAAGTTACAAAATTACAAAGTCGGGCCTTTTCCAAATACTAAATTACAAAGCTGGGCCTTCCTTAATGCAAAATCACAAAGCCGGACCTTCCCCAATTTCATTCAACACCATTCCTTTTCTTTCTCTCTACAGGTAGTCTGCACCTCTAAGCCCTTAACATGCAAAAAACCTTAACTACCCTTTGCAGACACCACAGGAAGATGAAACTGGAAGGTAAATCCTTCTCCAAAAAGGAAGGTTTGTTCTTGACACTGCCAGAACCAAACCTGAACTGGCGGATCCTCTAACAACCTGCTGTGCATGACAGAGGTTGGATCTGACACTGTGTAGCATTCCAAAAAGGATGATATTCTGCAAGAGAAGAAGCTTCTTCTGCACCAAAGAAGTAAAAGAAGCCAAAAGAGAGGAACTTAACCAGCTTGCTTCTGGCACTTCTGCGGTCTCCAGGCCCTGGCATTGCGTTTTGGCAGGCCTTTGACTGGGTAGCCGTGGCGCTTCCATGCGCAGTCCAAACAGCAGGGTCTCAGACTTAAAAGAGTTTAGGGTTTAGAGTTCAGGGTTCAGTTAGAATTGAGGGTTTAAGGGTTTTGGGCCTTGAGGTCTCTAATTTTGCCCCTGTTTGCAGCAAGTGCCTTCTGTGGCCTTGTAGCTAAGTAGCACTAACAGACCTTGCAAAGAGCTTTGAAGCCTTGACTCTTTGTCTTCAAGCTTCCAAAGGCTTTGAAGGCTTTGAAGAAAGGATGTGCAAAGAAACTTCAAAGAACCCCTTTAACCCTTTGCCTTCAAGGTTTCAAAAGCTTCAAAAAGCTTTGAAGGAAAGAATAAGATGTCTGTTGCTTGGAGTCCATGGTGTAAGATCCAACCTTCTGGCTCTATTCTGACCGTAGATGCACTGAGCGGGTTGTAGAATCTGCCAGGTCGGTTGGTTCTAATACCTTTTTAAAAGAAGAATTTACCTCCGATCTGTCTGCCGCTGCTCTAGAATTGTCTGGAAGATACGCAATGGTGGCTTCCATCAGGCCTTATTATTGCCATCCACTTTGGAGAGCCGCCTTCTGTGCGTAGCTTGGCGCTTAGGACTGCCACCAAGACCTTGCTTTCGACTTGGCTTCTTGGACTTCGACCAA